TGGGAAAAACCTGGTTGAATGTTTAGAGCAGTAAGAATTTTTAACCTGACTCATTGTTGTAGTGAATAATATATGTAGAGAGAGAGAAAGGAAAAGGAAAAAAAAAGAGAGAGGGGGAAGGGGAGGAGAGAAAGAAAGAGAAAAGGGTGGGGAGAAAGAAGAAAATAGGAGGGAAGGGAGGGGAGGAAAGAGAAGGGCGAAGAGAAGGAAAGGTATGGGAGGAAGAAAGGAAAACAGAAAAGAGGAGAGGAGAGGAGCAAAGGGAAGGGAAGAGAAGAGAAGATCAGAGAAGAGAAGATCAGAGAAGAGAAGATCAGAGAAGAGATGAGAAAGCAGTTCAATGACCTTGGAGTCAGGAAGACTTGGGTTCAAGTCCCATCTCTGATAATTCTAGGCTATATGGCTATGAGCAATTCATTTAACCTCTGAATGGTCCAGGCATTTACATGACTATAACTTGCAGGGCAAGTACTGATCTACACAGTAGGGATTTCATCTGTAACTTGTGGTTTTAGAGAGCTACGTGGAACACTGGAAGGTTAAGTTGCAGCCACCATTATGATCATCTTTCCAAAGGATGAATACACTGGCAAGTGGTATTGGTATACACATAGAAGGGCAGACTGTTTTAAAATAGGGTGGGAGATGGAGAGTGAATGTAGCGGTGTTAGCATAGTGATGTTGGAATTAGCCTATAGAGACTTTGCCATTTTGCACTAGCTACCTTCTCTTTTTATCCCTGCATCCCACTGGTAAGTTGACTCTCACTGGTACATTCTTTCTGGAACCTCCATTTTGAGGAAGGCCCCAGATCCACCATCATTTATTCTCTGAAGTTCACTACCATAATGTCAAGTAAATTCATTCCCTTCCTTCCTCCCCATTCACCCACTTTCTGCATTTTTAAAAATATGTTGTCTTCCCCCTTTAGAATATGATACTTGAAGGCAGAAAGGGCCTTTGTTTTTAGTTGTATTTGCATTTGTGGTACATAGCAAAATGCCTGGCACATATAATAATTACATTATCTTTGCCTTTCCATTCCCACCATTCATTTGTGTGCTGACACACAAGGTCTTAACTTGTGAGCAAGGCAAAAAAAGAAAAAGAAAAGAAGAAAAAGAATTAATTAAAAATATTTACAGGCTTGTAAAATTCTACAAGAGAGAGTTGTGCTGTAATCTTGGAGCCTGGAAATGAGTAAGTTGCTGTAGGCCAGGCTGGAGATGACCATAGCTTTAAGTAACTGTAGAGACAAAGAGAAAGAGACAAATCCAAGAGATATTATGAATCAACCAATCAATTAACAATCATTTTAAAAAACATTTTCTTTATTCCAGCATTGTGCTAGGTGCTGGAAGATATAAACACAAAGAATGAAATACCCTCTACTCACAAGAGATTAATGGAAGAAAAAAGTTTCAGTATTTTATAACAAAGCATACAGTATTAATCATTATTTTAAATTATTAAAGTAATACAATTAAAGGTTAAGAATGACATGAGAAACCTGAAGTCTTTCTATTTAGAAGATATATTTAGTATTTATTTATTTATTCATTCATTCATTTAGGTCTCTGGTTCAAAAATAATACCCTTTTATATTTATGACTGAACGAGTTGTGGTACATGATTGTGATAGAATACTATTATGCTATAAGAAATGAGCTTGACGATCTCAGAAAAACATGGAAAGACTTGCACGACATAATGAAGAGTGAAATAAGAAGAACCAAAAGTTGTATACAGTGACAGCAATTGTATTAAGAATGACTTTGAACAAATAAGTAATTTTGGCTATTACAAATACCCAAATTAACTACAAAGTATGTATGAAGGAAGAAACTATCTGCATCCAGAGAAAAAAGTGATAAATAGAAGTATATATAGAATGATTGTATTTGTGTGTGTGTGTATACATATTTGCGTCTAATAGTAGCCATCTCTAGGGTGGGGGGAAGTGAAGGGGAAAAAAATAAATCTACATGATAACTTTATTACATATTTACATGGAATAGCATGTCATACATAATAGATTTGTATTTTCATGTATAATCTTTTTATTATATTATATTATGGAAATGATTGTTTTATCCATAAGTTAAAAATAAATAAAAATTAAAAAATAATTTTTTGATATTGTCTGGGACTTGAGGTTAGCTTAGAGAATTTAGCATAACTCAAGGTCCATTCTCTATTTCCATCTGTCTACAGAAGAATTCCACTTGAGCTCCCAATTATCACTTCAAATTTACATTCTAAAACTCAACCTCATATTCCCATCCTAACTAGTTCCCTTTCCCAACCATCTAATTTTCCAATCTCTGAGGAGTTACATTTAGGTTCTTTACTTGTTCTTATGAAATTGATCACAGAACCTATTGATTCTTCCTTTGCCATTTTTCTTGGAGTTTTCCCTCTTTCTCTCCATTGGCACTGCTATCACCCTATTCCATGTTCACATGACTGAATTATTGCAGTAGTTTTTCAACTGGTCTCCTTTCTTCCACTATCTCCTCTCTCCAATCTATCAACTAGGTAATTTTACTTAGTCACAGGTTTGATCAGGTCACTTAGCTCAAAAACCTTCAATATTTTCTCGTTGACTAATAGATGAAATATGCATTCATTAGCATGGAATTCAAGGTTCCAGTGGACTTTCCAGTCTGTTTTCCTTTACATCTTCCATGCTCCAGTCTAAGCAGACTACTCACTCTTCTCTGCCTTCTTCGACCTTTTTATCTTAGCATGTTATCAGCCATACCTCTACCAGACTCTTCCCTACTCCCAATCTCTAATTGTTCATGTGTTTCCTCTCTTTCAAGAACTGAGTTACCAATTAGCCTTTCTTGATCTTTTCCCCCTTGTCAGAAATCCTTCCCTTCTTGAATTTCTCAGACTATTCTGCTTGCCCTTTCCTTCACACCTAAACAATTTCTAACTTGTATTAACAGTTATGTGTGTCTATGACATCTCTTCCCCTCAACTCTATGTGCACTGGATTATAAGGTACTTGAGGACAAGAATGATTATTTTTCATCTTTACATTCCCAACATCTAGAACAGTGCCTTGTACATATCATTAGCTTCATAAATAAATGTTTGTTGAATTGAATTAAATTTAAATGACTACTAGGTTTTTTTCCCTCTCCAAATAGATTGTAAAAATTTGCAAGTCAGTCAGTCAGGTAACAAGCATATAGTGAGCAGTTACAATGCACCAGATACTGTTGAGTGCTAGAGATACAAAAAAAAAAAGGCAAAAAGCACCAGTCTCTGACTTCAAAGACCATTCATTCTAATGTGAGAGACAACATGTAAACAACTAGATACATACAAGATACATACAGAGCAGATGAATGATAATCTGCAAGTGTAAGGCCCTAGTAGCTGTGACAAGTGGGGAAGACCTCCTATAGAAGGTGGGTTTTGAGCTGACACTTGAAGAAAGCCAAGGAAGAAAGCCAAAAAGCCAAGAGGCAGAGATGAGAGGATAGAGTATTCCAAGCAGTGGGGAAACAGAAGGTTGTCTTCATGGAACTGGAAACAGGCCAGTTTATCTGGTCTGGAGAGAATGTGGCAGGGAGTAAAGTCTAAGCAGACTGGAAAGGTAGAAAAGAGGCTGGATTTGAAGAGCTTTAAATGCCAAACAAAGGATTTTATATTTTATTCTAAAGGTAATAGGAAGCCACTGTAGTTCATTTAGCACTAGAGTGATACAAGCAGACCAACACTTTAGAAAAATCACCTTGCCACCTGAGTGGAGGACAGATTGAAATAATGAGAGATTTTGAGGCAGGGAGGGAGATCAGTCAGAAAGCTATAGCAGTAGTACAAGCAAGAGGTGATGAACTAGGCTTGTATGAGAGCAGAGAAATGTTGTGAAGATAGAAAGGATAAGATTTGGCTACAGATGGGATCTGTGATGTTAACGTGAGGGCTTTAAGGGTAACACCGAGGTTGTGAGCCTAGGTGACTAGGAGGATGGTTGTGCTCTCGACAGTAAAAGAGAATCATAGAATTTGGTATAGTGTGATGGGGTTGGGCAGGGAAGGAGAGGTAATGAGTTTTATTTTGGACATTCTAAGTTTGAGATACCTATACCATATTCAGTTTGAGATTTGCAAGAGGCAGTTGGAAATGGGTCACTAGCTTAGACTAGGGCAGGATATGAAAATCTGGGCATCATCTCCATAGAGATATTAATTGATGCTATGGGAGCTGAGAAGGTCACCAAGTTCTGTTCAAGGTAATATAAAGGGAATAGAGACCATACATTATAGGTCTTTGTGTTCATGCCAACACTGACCACAAGGTTGACAAATGGTAGTATACAGACAGCTGTGCTGTGGTGTGAAGAACACTGGATTTTGGATCAGAGGACCTCTGCTACTTTCTATCTCTGAGAAGTTGGGAAACTCCTCATGGGGCCTCCTCTGTAAAACGAGGGAGCATCTCGAATGCCCTTCCAGCTCTAGATTCTATGATAACTACACCCAGCTGATACTTAGTTGATAAAAAAGAACATTGTCCCGGCACGTTCCTTTCTTGACAAACAGCTGGCGATAGCACCTCTGAACTAGCAATTTTATGAGTGTACAGCTCCCATGGCAGACTCCAGCAGCCTTGTAAAGGGACCCTATTTGCAAACCAAAGAGATTTCTTCTACTTAAAAAAAAATCAATAGCCAAGCCAACTGAGGATTTTATAAAACGCAAAACTTTCATTTGCCTTCAGAAATTATTAAGTCCTAGTATTGAGATGAATAAGGATGGAGTTCAATGAAGAACGCTGGAAAAAATACGAGAAAGAAAAAAAAAAGAAAATGCACATAAAGAAGGGTCCCACACCTCTTTACTTCAGAACAGCTGCTGGACATGGGAAGGGGTCGGAGGAGTGACCCCTCCTTCCTCATTCCTATTGGTCCTGCTCCTCTGAGGTTGATTGGGTAGATGTCCCTTTCCCCTCCTCTCTCCATGCCCCCTTTGGCTCCCCTCCCCGATTTCCCCGTTTGGAATTTTCTAAACTGGAGGCTTGTAGGGGCTGTTGAGGGGCTTCTGATTACAGCTCGGCCGCGGGCGTCACCCTTCCTCTCGGCTGCTGGGGACCTTGCTCAGCTTCTAAGTCTCTGAAAAGTTTGGGTTTGAGGGGCACCTTACTGGGACATGTTGTCCCCCAGGGATCTTAAGAGGAAGAGGGGGGGAGATGACTGCATGGACGCGGATTGTGCTACTGCTGCCCTTGGCGCTACTTCTACCCGCAGTGCCCGGGGGCTGCCTAAGTCGGCAGGAGCTCTTCCCTTTCGGACCCGAGCAGGGGGATCAGGAGCTGGAATCTGGGGACGACTCCATCTCCCCAGCCTTGGAGCTCCGCCTGCGGATCCACTTCTATGACAAATATGATATCTCCTCCGTCTATGTGAGTACAGTCCTCGTGTGTGAGTGTGTGTGTGTGTGTGTGTGTGTGTGTGTGTGTGTGGGTGTGGTGGGTGTGTATGCGTGTGTTGGGGTCGGAGTGTAAGGGAAGATGGGGAGCGAGAGAGAGGGGGATGGTGGGGGATATTTTGGGCAGGGGAAAGGGTGCTTGGAGCAGAGGTGAGATCCGACGTGGGGGACGTGTAGACCCAGGCGCTAGGGGAAGGGCTCCTGAGGCAGTCTCGGGGCCTAGGGTGAGGGAAAGCTCTGGGGTGTCATTAACACCCCTCGGGTTTGTATTTTCCCCCTCCCTACTGCCTCCTGTGCGCCGCTCCCATTCAACCCCGTCCTTGCCTTCCTCTCCACTTCTCCCAAAGTCTATCTTTGGGAGTTGCCTTTCAGCTGGTTTCCGCCGTCTAGGGAAGAAAGGGACCCGGGGAGCCACACTTTTCTCTACTTTGGCATTTCTATCTTATGCTGCCCTTGAATTCCACCAGAATTTCATCTCCTTCAAAAGAAAGATCCTAATGTAAGGGGAACTTAGCGCCTGGGAACTTTGCTTGTAATTTTTCCATTGTCCTGTTAGTTTGGAAGAGGGAGCACACGACCTTCCCTGTACAGCTTGTACAAGCCCAGGATTAAATCACCTTCAGCAGACTTCAGCCCTGCATGGCCGAGACATGAGAACCCAGAGTCATGCTCAAATGCCACAAGATGCCCAAATCATAGGAGGTCGGGTGTGCTGACACGAAGGGGTTAAGACTGATCCTCTGTCCCTGAGTAATTAACTTGCAGAAGAAATCTCTATGTACTTCCAAGGACTGATTTCGGAGGCATTTTGTGTGTGGCTTTCAAGGTATCTTTTGGCAATGATTCACCTCCCTAAGTAGGCTTATTTTAGAGCCCAGACAGCAGTATAATGGACTGAGAGAACCCTTGTGATCTAATTTCCTGTTGCATTGTAGTGTCACCATTGTAGGCCCTAAAAGAAGAGTGAAAGCAGGCAACCTTTAGAGTTCTAATGAACTTCATGTCTGATGACAGAAAATCTGTCCAGGCATCTAGTAAACTCCATATATAAGTTGGGTTTTCCCCCCCCATGAAGTGTTACTGATCCCAACCCAATCTCATCCCTTTCCTCTCCCCCTCATGTGGAATTTATAGTTATTGCATGTGTTCCAGAAGTGGGGAGAATAAAACAAAACACACATACCATTGTATCCTGCCTGTTAAATGGAAGTGTTTTGTAAGAGGGCTGGTTGAACTCTGCCTTTGACAACGCCCACGTGTAGCTTGTCTCCTTTACCTAAGAATGCTTAAGTCAAAAACTCACAGAGAAATGACTCTAAGCAGGGCTTTATTGCAGAACCCTCCAAGGGTTCTTTCTATCTATTGTGCTGCTGTCTGGTCTCTAAAACAAGCCCACTCAGGGAGGTGAATCATTACCAAGAGAAATCTTCAAAGCCACATACCAAATGTTTTGGAACTAGAGTTAGAAAGGGACCTTAGAGGTCGATACATATCCTACAAATTAGGATTTGTTCTGTGAAGTTTAAATTCAGTCAGAGGGCTGCACTCGAGGACCTAGAGGACCACATGTGGCCCCAAGGCTGCAGGTTCCCCAACCCTGGGCCCAGCAGATAGAGAGGTGGGTCTGGAGTCAGGAAAACCTAAGTTCAAATGTGACCTCAGATGCTTACTAGCTGTGTGACTGGATGAGTTAGTCTGTTTGCTTCAATTTCCTCAAGTTCAAAATGAGGATAATAATATCACCTACCTCCCTGGGTTGTTGTGAGGATTAAATGAGATAATATTTGTAAAACACCTGGCACATAGTAGGTGCTTAATAAATACTTATTTCCTTCTTTCTATCACCGAAGCAGTTTTAAATCTGGAACTGTCCTTAGAGGTCATCCAATTCAACTCACTCATTTTGTAGATGACAACACTAAAGCACAGAGAGGTTATGTGACTTGTCCAAAGTTACCAAATCTAGGTCCTTTGATTCCAGATCCAGTATCCTGGTCATCTTGTCTAACTCTTTCATTTATAGATGAGAAAGCTGAGGTTCAGATATTCCCACAAACGACCTATACAGCTTTAAAGTTTGCAGAGCTTTTTGGATACGTTATCTCGTTTGATTCTCACAGCAACATTGGCCTGCAGGTACTATACCCTCATTATACGGAAGTGGAAATTAAGGCAGCTAGAGGTTAAGCAGCTTACCTATAGTCCCAGAGTGTCAGAGGCAGAATTTGAACCCAGGCCTCTTGTTATTCCAGGACTTTTTCCTGTGGCATTAACCTAAATATCTGGGGACATTCTAAAGACTTGGAAACAAGCTCTGGGATTTGATTGTTTCCAAAATAAATTCCTATCATTCTGTTACCTGAATGACTGGGTAGGTTTTTATTTTTTGTATATATGTAAGAGAATTCCAAACTCCTTTTTTGTATATTGGATAGTATATGTAAGAACTAAATATTTTATGAGCAGTACTGAAAGGCTTTTGGTACCCTGGGAAGAGGGTAAGGTCGATCATTTATTCTTCTGTCCTCTATGCCTAGATCTCTTCTAGGAATGGTTTAGGCCACAGGGGTGGAGAACCTTGGGTGCAACCTTTTGACTGAGTCTAAGTTTTACAAAACACATCCTTTTATTAATGGGATTTGTTCTGTGAAGTTTGGATTCAGTCAGAGGGCCACACTTGAGGACCTACAGGACCACATGTAGCCTCAAGGCTTTGGGTTCCCCACCCTAGACTCTAGGCCCATCTAAGATACAATGAAGAATAAGAGGAAAGAAGTCCTTATGCTCAGGGAGTTAACAATTTGGTTGAGATGATGCATTCAATTAACATACTAATAATGATACTCAATTAATACACTCAAGTAATATACTTTTAATATATAATGGTCCCAAGTACAGTAAGAAGTCATCATGAGAGTTGGTATGGATTGGAGCAATTAGGGAAAGCTTCATATAAGACAGACTTGAGAAGTCTTGAGAATAAGGCTAGACTTGAAGTATCATGAAAGGGAGAGGAGATTCTAGACAGGGAGATCAGCATAAGCAAAAGTAAGGAAGCAGAAATAAGTATATCATGTTGTGGAGGCAGTGAGGACTGATCATTCCTTTAAGAGACATCAGAGATCATCTAATTGAACTCCTTTACTCTAAAGATAAAGAAACTAAGGCAATCTGTCCAAAGTCACACACGTAATAAGTAGCAGGGCCAGATTTGAACCTTGACCTTCTGATCCCTGATCCGAGGTACTTTCTACATGTTTGGGGAATATTAGGATATGAGATTAGGTAGTTAAGATGGAGTCACTTGATGAAAGGGTTTGAAAGTCAGGCAGAGCAATTTGGACTTGAGGGTTAGGTTGTAAGGGAAGCATGTTAGGTCTTAAAGGCAAAATGAAAGCAGTGCTTTTGGAAGGGGTGTCTGAGAAGGGCTGCAGTGGACAGATGGTAGGGAAGTTAGGTGGAGGCCATTGGAGTAATCTGAGCCTAGATCTGGGAGTGGTAATGAGGAAGAAAAGGAATGTATGAATCCTATATACATTTCAAATAAAGGATGATAAAATGTAATGACAAATTAGATTTAGGAAATGTGTCAAAGATGGTCTTATTTTGGGGATGTGAGAAGGTGTAACTGGAAAGGGGCTCTGGTTTCAGAAGAAAGGGAAATTTTTTTTTAAGCTTTGAATTTAAGGTCATGCGTGGTTGGATATCAAGAGGAGATGTCCTCCTGTAGGCAATTAGAAATACAGACCCACAAGTGAGGTCTGCAGAAAAAGACAGGAGAGTTAAAACAACTATATATTTAATGCTATTTAAAAATTACCTGGTACATGCCAGGTAGAAATCTTAGGCTTAATATAGTAAAAATTGAAAGCAAGGAATATTTAATGCCTATGAATTAGGCAGGAAGTATGGTCTGGTAGAAAACTTAGATTTGAAGTCGGAGGACATGGTTTAGGATCTTGGTTTTGTTACTTAGCATCTGTGTGACCTTGGGAAAGTCGTTTAACTTTGGGTCTCATCTACTTGTCTGTAAAATGAAGAGGTTGGAGTAGATGGGTCCTAAGGTTCCTTTCAAGGCTGAATCTATGATCCTCTGAAATAGATTGAAGTGATTAGCCATTTTGACACAGCATTTTCTCACTGAAGGCTTATTCAGTAGGCCCCTACGTTATATTGTTCTAGTGTCTATGCAGTATCCCATTCTATGAAAATGAAAGGTCTAAGTTCAATCTCCCCAGTGCATGCTCAGCAAATGTGACCAGCTGTTTTTTGGACACAAGCCTTTATACTAAGGGAAAGAGGTCACGCCTGGATACTCATTCCTGAATCAAATCACTGAGCCACTGAAAATGTCATATGGGATCTGCCACCTTGATCAATGGCCAGTGATAATAGGTCAGTGAGCTTGATTTTGTTTCCTGGAAAAATTCTAGAATGGATCATTAATTATCAAAGAGATGATTAGTGAACATCTAGAAAATGAAGTGTTAATTACAAACAGCCAAGATAGCTTTATCCAGAACAGGTCATGCCAGACTAACCTTCTTTTCCTTTTTTTTTTTTCCCACAGGACTATGAAACTGTCAGATGAGGGAATGCTATGAATACAACTTATATAGATTATAGCAATGTTTTCATAAAGTATCTTATACTTCTCTGATGAAAAAGATGGGATCTAGATGATAATATATTTAGATAAATTTCAAAGTAGTTGAATAGTTCTAAATAATCAAAGAGTACATATGAAATTAATGGTTCAGTATCAACTTGATCTGAGGTTTTCAGTGGAATGACTCATGCTTGAGTCTGTGTGGTTTAACATTTTTATTGGTCACTTGGATAAGTCATCTATATATTGTCATATATAACTGGTTTTTTTTGGTGATGCAATTGGGGTTAAGTGGCTTGCCCAGAGTCACACAGCTAGTGAGTGTTATGTGTCTGAGGTTGGATTTGAACTCAGGTCCTCCTGAC